GTAGATCTAGTAATAGCTTGTATTGTACTTCATTGCCTGAAGACTTTGCAGAAAGCTCCATCATACAATGGTAAGGTCATTTCACTCATGAACTCAGCCACTCTGTCTCTTTTATTCCTTCCATTTCATCTGTTGAAACTCAGGAAGTCTTGAGGCAGAACAGTGTGTTTGCTTTGGTGTCTCTAAGGCCCTGTTTACACCTAGCATTAACATCCATCTTGGGTGATCACAAGTGGACAGCTCTAAGCATAGGTGTGAATGCACCGAAGATAGATTCAGGATGCATTGAGGTCCGATCGGTCAGACCACATTCAGCCGCATTCTTCTAGCAGTGTGCAAAGGTGTCCTGGGCCACACCGAAGAACCGCCCACTCAACTGATGTCTTCTGCCCTATGACTTCATATTAAAATATGAAACAACAAGGAGAAGCCACAACGAAAGGCAAAATGGATTTGTGTGGATGGAGTACACATGAAACAAGCTATCTGATTTCCATTCAGAGATGATTGCAATTTTCCACAGAGTCATTATAACAGAACCTGGATGATAACAAACTACACACTACTACACAAAGTCCGCCATGTTGTACTGCCACGCTTCTACAGTAGCAAAGGACAAACCAAACACTTGCTCTAGAACCTTTGGAGTTTTGCGACCATGGTAGTTTCTCCTTCACGCTTGTAAGGCTGAGCTGTATTCAGATGATTCCAGTCTGCAACTTCACTGCTAGATGCCACTGAATGTCTTTACACATTGTCTACTATTTATCCAGTCTTTAATTATTACTGCGCACTTAGAGCAGCAATCAGGGGATTGGAGACTTTTTTGCCCTGGGTGTTGCCTCCCAGGCAGCATAGCAATTACTCTATTTAATTGCTGGAGGTTGTTGGGACTGTATGCAGCCTGTCTGCAGGCTTTACTGAAAATGTGTTAAAACATTTTTTATGTTTTTATTAACGATTAATCGCCCCCAACAATATGCTAGAATTTCCCATCAATCAAAGGACAGGGGACAATGCTCTTTGTGCTTTAGATGAGAATACTACAGTCTCAACATTTTGCCAAGGATGGGGAACAATGCAATTCAATTTTTATTTGTATCTTGCCAAATCATAACAGAAGTCATCTCAGGTCACTTTTCATAAAAAGCAGGTCTAGACCGTACGCCTTATAAAATTGTCCTTGTTCTACAGGGGACTAAGAGGATTAAAATGGTAAGTAAGTGCATTAATAATGCAGCAAGTTACATATCAAATCTTTGTTTACGTTGTATAAAAGAAGCAGTTTACTTTACACAGCTTTCAATTTTGTAAGCACTTGTCCTCCCCACCTCTGTAACCAAACCTACACACTTGCATATCCCTTTAAGACCTGCAATAACAGGGGAGAAATCAATCCATCAGTCTGAACTGCTCCATGTAGCCCACCCAAACATTCACAACTGTGCTCCTGACACATAGCTCAACATACGTTTACTTTCACTTTACTTTGTCATGGAAGAGTGAACACATATTTTTATAGAGTGTATGATTTCAAATGTGTTACCAAAGAAATAACGAAGAATTAACCTGTAACTGCTGTCTGGCATCAATGTGTCAAAAACACTTACATATTTATTAACCCTTGCCAAATAGGGAGTGTCAAGCCGTATTTACTGTCAAAAGACAAAGTTGACTATTGGAATTGGTATGACTGTATAATGGCATATTCTGTGTGTGTGTGTGTGTGTGTGCAAGCATGCATGCAGTCCCACCTCATTTCAGTGCAATGTTACAAAGCTTGGAGATCTGTATTTTCCAAATATTATGGGTAAGTACAGCCGAGTAAGTTGCCCCATTGCACTCCAATAAAAAATAAACACACCAGGGGTTCTAGCTGTAAGCTCAGGATTCAGACAGTGTCAATCATATAATCACCCCTTAAAATTCACAGTAATTTCACTGAGGTTTTGGGATATGAGCTCATTTATAAATGGGCTGTAGATCTAACCGAAGGCTGGGGGAATTGTGTCATGTTTTAATTATCGTTTAACAGGAATGTTAAGTGCACGCTCAGTATCTTGCAGGAAAGGAAGTGTAAATTTCCTATCTCTCTTTTTAATTCCTAACACCTTGGAGGCAGCTGAGCATACTATTATAAATCGATATTGATGTAATTGAGTCATAAGTGTGTCAGTGCCCCGTTTCCAGAAAGGCACAGCTTTCCATGAATCAATAGTGTAGTTGTGGTATCAGTCATCTTTGAGCGATGCTCATAAAGTTTTGTTTTACTTGCAGCCATCCCAGTGGAATAGACTTTGGAAAACAACACTAAATAGCAGTCTGTCCAATCATTATTAACTGCTATAAAATTACAGTCCTATTTTGTTCACAAAGTGATGAGATTATTTTGTCCTACTTATTAATTGGAGTGAAATTGGACAGAGTGACTCACAGCAGTGTTACTGGAAGGTGTCAGACACAGAAAGCAGGTAATTATGGAGACAGGAAGAGATAAGGAAACAGAATGCAATTACCCTGGCAAGCAGAGCTTCAAATTGCTCCTCTTTGGATTTCTCACCTCAGGTTGCTATTGTTCATGCTTTCCATCTCCATACTGATCTTTATTCCTTTCACCCTGTAGCCTAAAGAAGAAGGAAGGTTTGCATTAATCAATTGAATTACTACTGTAAGTAGAGCTATGCAAAGCACACAGCTTATTGCCAAATTTCAAATGTATATTCAGATATATTTTTTCAAATCATTTTCATACGTAAATTGCTCCGTCTAAATCATGGCCGTCAAATGTTTCCAAGGCTGTTACAGTTTCTTAGAATTTAGTTTCATTTAACCTTCAGGTTAAGGGGAACGCTTCAGATTGATTTTCCCTCTTTGTCCTCCACACTGCACTACAGTATACTATTGTTGCTGTGTCCAGCAGCGTGCGATGCCTTTTATTTAAAGATTTTATTAATAACTAAAACGCAAGCACACACAAATAAAACAATATGAAACAATTAGCCCTTCTCTAAATCCCTCCCTGGCGTACAAGATATAAATTGCACATATCTGCATGTGCTGTAAGTAAAAGCGTAGATGTAACTAAGACTTAATTTCATTATTTTCTATCGATCCTGTGGCTGACTTTTTGAAAAGAGTAACTGCAAGTATCCACTGTCCTTGGATTGCATATGTAAATAATCTGAATGCTGTTTCTGTTGTATAAGGTACATGGAGTTTTTTTTACTTATTTAAAAGGAAAGGCAAATGCTGTCATGCCGCTGATTTGAAGGCAGAAGGAGGGCTTCGTCTGGTCCATTTGTTCATTCTCTGTAGTGCCCATTTTCTTACTTTAGCCATTTGTTTTAGCACTTAGGTGCTCTCAACCTGTGCCCCACACTCACTGCAGACACACAAACACATACACACACATATCTGACAGAAGAGCTGGAACTGAGAGAGAGAGGAAGAAGTAAGTAAATGAGAGTAAATTCCTCAATCCAGCCTTTCAAAAGGAATCCAACATTATTTTGACAGTTCTTGTGGGTGATTTATTAAAGCCAAAATGGACACACAAATATAACTTTTTCTCCTTTTTTATGAGTGAAGCATGTACACGAGCATGTTGGTGAAATCTTGCACACAGCACGGGGTGTTGTTGACGCTCAGAGTGGCGCCTCAGGGGTGGATTCACTGCACATGTAGTCACATTTACTGTGATCGCATATAGCAAAATCTGCCACATTTAGACACATAGGGGGGTCTGCCAGTGACCCTCATAGCTACTTATCACCGTGTGGTTACTGGCAATGAAGCCATACTTCTCATACAGGCCTCTACACTACCTCAATTTGCTTTAAAAAATCTCCCATTTTTGGTTTGATTAATACTCTGTATCAGTGCAAGTGTTTTATGTAATTGTTGTATAGGTTTGATGGCCTGATAGGTGCCACTTAGTCAAGCTTCAGTCAGCTTCAGTCTGGAGCTGGAAATGATCATTGCAGACGGATCAGGTGTGTGAGAGCAGTGTATGAGTGTCACAAAGAGCTTTTATGTAAATAGCAGTTGAAGAGCGGCTCTCCGTTGAGACTTAAATATACAGCACTGTATATGCTACTCTGTCAGTCTCTGGGACTGTAAAATGTTCTGTGTTCATATGAAAGGTTCAACACCTCTTTTTCTCCTGAAGACCCCACAGAGAAAAAGATGAGATGGAGAGAGGGAAGGGAAAGGGAAAACATGGCAATCTCTTCATCAGAGTGAAGAGAAAGTAGGACACATGGTGGGGATCAAGGTCATAGCTCAATATATATATAAAAAAAATACCCCTGGATTACAGGTCCCCAAATAAAATGTCAAAGGAAAATGAAATGAAAAAGTGATTCTCAAATATAAAAAAAGACAGGAGTCTGACAACACAGTGTTTGGACGATTTAGCAGAAAGGATTTCGTTCAATTATTGCTTTGTTTAGAAAAGGCGTGTCTTTACTTTCTTCTTGACAAGAAATAAAACTGATTTTTGCCCAGCATTACAGCAGCATCACTTATATCAACGCTTTTGTGGAAATGCTCCACAGATTTTGAATTTCCCACCCCTCCTTCTGGGGCTTAATAATAGAGAAGCAGGTCTGAGTATTTTTGTTTGTGGAGTGTTTGTTAAGCGCTTTCTTCTTCCATCCCAACTGTTGCTGTTTTAACGCCCTCCAAATTACACCAAGGATAGCTGTGAGGCTCTCTTCTCATTTTCCTCAGTTAACAAGCACTCTGTTTATATATGATTATGGTTCTCTGCTTGTTTATTCTGCCCAGCTTTTTTAAATTACTTTGCCGGTTTAGTTCAAGGTACAAAATGCACTAAAGGATTCAGTTCAGCTCGTTTGTTTTCCTTCTGTGGAGAAATATTTCTATTTATGGTCATTTCATTCTTCGCCTGCCGTCAAATGAGCTGATGGGGATAAACCTGAGCTCATTCGACTCCCCCGTTACCCATTTTGACAGTTATTTCTGTGTTTGCTTTGCAGCGCTGCCAGTCATGCAGGTGACAATTGACATAACCAGACAGCAGGTGGAGAAGATCTTCGGTCTCGATGAGTACTGGTGTCAGTGTGTCGCCTGGAGTACCACCGGAACCCAGAAGAGCCAAAAAGCGTACATCAGAATTGCTTGTAAGTGCACTTTAAAACGATAACTGTCACTACAAACGCTGCCTAACAAGGTGCTCACATATTGCATTTGTAATCAAAGGATATTGGCAAGATGTTTTTTTTTCTTCTGTTTTTGGTGGTTGGGGAGGGACTAACTTTCATTAAAGAATTAGCCCAGAGGCCGTTATGATGTGATGCATCACAGTGTATTACTGTGATTACAATTTAGTTAAATTATCTTCCTGCGATTCTACTTATACGAAGAAAATATCTGACCCTGGCAGGGAGAAACAGAGAGTAATGCATCTGCTTGAAGGCAGTCTTAAAAAAAAAAAGTAGAACACTAAATTTGAGTATTCATGAGCATATTTTTCACTGGATACAGTATATCAGCAATGATCCCTATGAAAGTAACTGGAATAAAAACAGATTTGAAATTTATTGCTGTGCAGCAATCATAAATCTGTCTGGGGAACACAGACACATCCCTCGCCGCAGCCTCAAAAGCTTTATTAGAAGAAGCCATTTTACATTTGAGTATTTTAAAGCATTCTGCCTATTAATTCCCACATAAATATGCATTATTCCAGACAGAGCCGAACGCAGCGCTGTCTCCAAACCACCAGACGTTTTGAAAACACACATTCATTATCCAGCCTTGTTTGAGAGCTCAACAAAGTCAGTTAGATGTAAGATAAGGACACACACACGCTTCAATAAGAATGTGCGTGTGTGCACACACCGGTTCACATTCACAATATTTACGTACACACACATACACGCTCATACATTTAAGCCTTCCAGGATTGTTATATCTTAAGTGTCCTCCAGTCTCATTGTATCGGCTTTAATTAAATTGAATGTCGTGAAACTCTCTGCTTGTCTTAACGTTTTCTCTCAGTATGATTGGTCAGGACAGGCTCAACATCTGTTTAAAGGAAGTCACCGGTGGCTCACAGCCGCACCCTCGGCCCCTCGCAACACAATAAGACGCGTTTTTGCTCGGAGTCAAAAACCTGGGGTGAACACATTAAATACGCCAACCTGCCAGCTATCAGCAGCTTGTCTAGCTCATCAGATACAAATAACCCTGTATAATTCACAGCCTGGGTTTATGGACAAATCTATAGCAGGAATTGGTGCAACAGTAAGAGTATTCAATGAGACGTAATGTGAAGCTCCATGCAGTCAGCCAGGCTTGCTGGAGCTCTTGTCCAGGCGCCTCAGGGCTATGTTTTCGTGTGGCTGCTCCAAGCCCTCATACAGATGGAAGCTGGAGGCTGGCGGATGCTGGAGAGAGGAGAGTGGGTGGGAGGGGAGGAGTGAGGGGTAATGCAATTGCTTTTGCTTGATGCCGGGCCCCTCTGGCAGCAGACAAGCATCTCTGAACCAGCCAGGCAGCCTGTAATAAGCAACATGGTTGGTGCCACCGATCCCTGTGTGGCTTAGGGGCCAACTGGAGTGCAACATGCTTGGAGAGGCCATGGGTGGACATTTCAAGAGTGGAAAATTTAGAAAACATCACCAGGCTTTATAGATAGAAATATTTAATTGAAACCTCACACGCTGTTACAAATACCCTAATTGGTTGTGCTTCTCCCCATATTTTTTTTCCCTCAGACCTGAGAAAGAACTTTGAGGAGGAGCCGCAGGGTAAAGAGGTGGCATTGGACCAGGAGGTGTTACTGCGCTGCCATCCCCCCGAGGGAGTGCCACAAGCCGAGGTGAGACACGGATACAGAAGATATTTATAGGCGCACATCTAGCATTCATTTACCCTTTCCTCACCAGGAGGACAAAGAGCAAAAAGTGGCTCAGGATGAGCTCCCCGGCATCTCTCTCTGCTCCACCAGGGAACAGACAACCCTGTACGGATAAATGACACTTCTAATTATTCCCCATTATTGATTTATTATCTCTCTTACATCTCTGAGCCGTATATCACATCGTCTCGTCACATCACTCAAGATAGGCTTGGAGGCTTCACTCTCCGTTTGGCATCTCTAAAGGCCTATCCATAATTAATGGGTCTATTTGCTTCACTCTCTTTCTATCTCATTCTCTATCTCTCTGCCATCTCTCCATGTGTCTCTCATACACTCTTGTTCTGCTCAACTCTCTCCCTCGCTTTGTCTCTCGGTGGTGTGTGTCTGTGTTTAAAGGACCAGACTGGGGCCAGCTGTTTCACCTCGTCTGCTGCATCCTCCCAGTCCCAGATAGGCACTAACTGCTCTAATAACAACACAAGAGGAGGTTAGGCCAGCCACTCAGACAGCCCAGAGACCAGGAGCAGCAGAGTAGCCAATCACAGCTCAACAGTGTAGGGACAGTTTGCAGAGAAATAGGAAGGAAGGTGCCAACTGCAGTTCAACAGAAAAGAACATCAGAGCAGAAGTCACCACGGGAGAAAACAGGGATAGCATACAAGAGGAAGAAAGCCCAATTATATGCGGCATCGCAACTAGCAGTAATGCCAACAACAATGTTGCTGTACCGTAGCTACTGTGGAGACGGCACGAGGTCAAGTGAGAGCAAAAAAACAAGCAAGCCAATCTGAGAGTACACCAAAAAGGGAATAACACCAGTTTTGGCTTTTGTGAGAGGGCACAGAAACTACACAAATCATGATCAGTTTCATTCACAGACCACCAATAGCTACAAAGATTTCCAGCAGCCACAAAATAAGAGATGCACTCCCCATGCAAAAACAGAATTACTTACTCACTTCAGTAGGGCTTATCAATATATTAACTCAATCTCAGTTTTGTATCATACCAAGCTACATCTGTTCTTCGTTTTGATTGCATCAGAAACAGAAATACCTCACTGCTTTTTCTGTCCATGTAAAAATCTCGAATCCACAGCATACCTTAGAGCTGAATGGCGGTTTTCTATTCAGCTGCAGAGAATTTTGATCACTGAAACATATTTTCAGGTGGAGTGGCAGAGAAACGAGGATGTTGTCAACCCAGTGAGCGACCCCAATTTTTTCATCACGGCTGACCACAATCTCGTCATCAAAAAAGCCCGGCTGGCGGACACAGGCAACTACACGTGTGTGGCCAAAAACATCGTCGCTCGCCGCAAAAGCACCTCTGCCACGGTCCTAGTCTATGGTAGGTGATAACTTCTTTCAACAGGTGTCAAAGCTGTATACACGGAGGCTAATGAGAGGTCTGGCCTCGGATGATCCCAAGCTACGAAATATACAAACATAAAAACAGCTCGAGTGAATCATGTTTTGCTTGCATGCTGCTTCTGTTATCCAACATTTCCACATTAACCTCTGCATGTTCTCTTGCATGGAAGGTACCTGGGTGCACGTCTTCTATCAGCTGGTTTATAATATAAGATTCACTGTAGTTTTAATAAAAATAATATGCTAAATATGCTACACATGTTACACTTATGTGGCACCTTGCATAAGTCAGCTTTATTTTTCAGCAAGCAATGAATTACACTATCATAAATAACTACTTAAAGAGATAGTAGTGTATCTGCACCTTAATTAGGACAACTTAAAATGTTACTGGCAGCCATTCGGCCAAAGCTGGCAGTCTCCAATCGCGGGGATGCCATCTTCCTCCTTCTCTGTAGTGGATCCAATATGAGAAGAGAAATTGAATTAACAGCAAACTGTAAATAATGACTTGGCTTGATAAGCAGATTGATCTTTATTAAAATGCAGAGAAACAGCATATTTTCTATCACAGAGGGTTCCTTGGGTACTGGCACTACTCAGGTTTTGCATACGTTGCAGCCTGACTTAATTCTCAGCTACATGGTACATGTACATGCAAACAGGATATGGAAATCATGTGGGAATGCATCATGAAAGCAACTTTATGCACATAAGAAATGTATAATCTGGCACAATGTCTGACACAGGGTCTGTTTTTGTTGAGGCTGCCAGATGATACTATGATGTGTTGTGAAGAGTTATTGTATATTATCTAATATGACAGAAGAGAAAACACACCATATGCCACAAATATACCGCACTGTGTAGAAGCATGCACGCCTCTCAGTTTTTGCATTGTTCTGCTATAAAATTATTTAACAATTAATTCATTTAAATGTTTTGTGTGAGATCTGTACAATAGATATAGATATATTTAATACATTATTAGAGTAGATTTAAAGAAAACATCAGGTTATTTTTATAGAGTTAGTAATTTTGAAATACATGAAACGCACTGTAAGTATTCATGTCCCTCCCGTAATCAGGGTGTCAGGGGGAATTATTTGATCAAAATTTAATATGTGATGCAGTTCTCATTTTCAGCTTGTAACTACTTGAATATTAATTTCCACTTAAGAATGCAGTTACTCTGCTATTTCAGCTAACAAAAGCTCAATGGAATTTAGGGTCGTAGGATGAATTCAGCTAAAGAAAACATGAGCATAGTGAGGAAAGTGAGGGTCATTTATGGATGGCTTTGGAGCCTTTATGTGTCAAGGATAAAATGTTTTCTCTACCATATCCAAACATACACATTAGACCGATGAACTAGAGTGAGAAAACTCATGCATGTTTCTACTTAGTTTATAATTGTAAGTTATCAAATCAATATTTAACAATAAAAAAGGACGAGACTAACAGAGATTATTGTATTTTAGATAAAACACTTAAAGTAATGTCCTTTTTAGGCCAATTTTGTAATCAAACAAACTGAAGAAGTTTCAAACTTTTAAATAGTGCTCTTTCTCTAATGTGGTTGATAATTGAGGCATGTGCACCTTCAGGGTCAATGGTTTCAAATGAAATCTGTTCATTTGGAGCATGCAGTCAAAACACACATTATCACTCCTCCAAACCTCCAGCATAAAAAAAATAAAAACACATTCTTAACTGTTGATTATAATTGATTAGCTTGTTGTTGAAAGACGTGAAATGACTGTGGAGGCAAGAGTGCTCGCACTGTAATTGTTTTTTTTATTTTTCTTTTGTCAAACAATAGTTCTTACTCTTAGACCTGAAAAATTTGGAACAAATTGCTGGGGTGCTTGCATGTGCAATTTTATTTCTTCATCACTCTGTGCTTGACAAGATGACAAATGTATTACCATTGCTGTATTAATTGAGGTTAAATTCCAATCGAAGTGCTCTTGCTCCAAAAATTACCTGTTACTGCTGTTTACTTGTGTTGTTCAGTAGCAGAAAAAGTAAAACGTACCTACTTCATCTGTTACCTGAGAGCATCACAGTCCACCATACTAGATGATCTAGCTAGCTGTAGAAAGTCATAATAATGGCTACTTTTCAAAGCAGGTTCAACAGGGGGCCAGAGATGCATTTTAAAAAGGCCTGGCTGGTGTGACTGCACTCTGTGCTAAGAGGTAATCAGGGGCCGAGTTGCCTGGCAATTTACCTCGCAGTGGCGGGCAATCAATCGCATAGAGAGGGCAAGGAAATGATTCAGCCACGACAAGCACAGAAGTACAGGCTTAAGCACAGAGTTAGGGGGAAATTAGGAAGGGAGTATGTACAGAGAAAGAACGACGGTGCTATTCAAGTCAATAAATCAGGAATCTTGGTATCTTGTAAGCTGAGGCAAACACAGGAGATACAGGAAGGAGCTGATTAGAATCAAACCAGCGTGATTTGATGTAAACACCTGCCATGATTGAGCGATATAGCAACAATTATGTGCCAATAGACGGTTAAGGTTCAGAACATGGGCACTGGGTACTGCAAGTATCTGTAATAATAGGAATTCAATGTGCAGAGTTTCTGAACTGCCTGAACTTTCCAGTTTCAAATATAAAAGAAGAATAAATTAAACAGGGTTGTTCTCTACAATTGAAAGAAAACTTGAGTTTGATGTGTAATGGTGTGAAATCAGTGGTGGATTAGTGAAGGACATAATCTAAATTACTGGAACAGCCACGATATATTTATTTTTCAGTAGTCTCTTGGCATTTCCAAGGAGTAGGTGTTGTTTTTTAATGCATTTATGACCATTAGCATTTTGCTTTAAACGGCATTTCTTTACAGTGATTATATTCTGAGTGTATTATGAGTGTTTTGTATAATGTCTTGCATTACCTTGGTGTTTTTTTAAAATGGAGGCATATTTAAAATGTCCACTAGTTATTTTGCAGCAACTGTGCCTTCCTCACTAATAAGGTCAAAGATGGCAAGCTGACAAGTTATTTTCTGCTCCCTGTTGAAGCCATTTTGTTTTCACTGCAGTTGGGTGTAATTCCAACTTGGACACAGGAAGCAGCCCCCTTTGCTCTTCCATTAGTTCACCTTGCAGTGCTGAACCAAAGAGTGTAAAAGCAGTCACGATTATTCTAGCACAACACACATCTTTTCCGTAGTGCATGTCGGGTAATCCTGGCTGCTCTGTCCCTTCATCCATCCATCCCTCCCTCCCTCCAACCTTCCCCCTCCCTCACCCCTCCATCCCCCACTGGTGCTGGCCTGACAGTCAACGGCGGCTGGTCCACGTGGACCACCTGGTCGTCCTGCAGTGCCGTGTGTGGGCGTGGCTGGCAGAAGAGGAGTCGGAGCTGCACCAATCCTACGCCACTGAATGGAGGCACATCCTGTGAGGGGCAGAACGTCCAGAAAAGTGCCTGCGTGGCCACCTGTCCAGGTAACTCCCAGGCAACCCTGTTTGTCCTGTGGTGCTTGGCTTCCTGTGGCTTCCTTTTTGCATTTTTTTGCATCTAGAAGTCATCAATTCATCTTTATTTTGGCTGCCTTTTGTACCAGCACCCAGGTCTTTTCTTAGATGTCAGTGCTTCTGTTGTTTCCTGCAATTAGACTGCTTACACAGCAATGTCAGAGCCTATTAGTCTTCACAGTAAGACCTCATCCTGAATGTGATTTATTATTATCACTCTTTGTTCACATATCTCTTTATCTTCTGCGCTGTTGGCAGACCCTGCTTTTATTTCAGACACCTGTCTGCTTTAAGAGACATGGTCCCAGCCATGGTGTTGTGTCAGACCAGCTAGTACATTTGTTATTGTATGCTGCTCAAGCTATATAGTAAATATGGGCAATAAAAAGCTGAGTTATGGCAGCCTGTGTGCCACGTTTACGTGTGAGTAGTTGAGGGCGTTTCATTTGCCTGCCTGTTCTCCCTTGTGAGAGCGTTGGAGAGGCAGAGAGTGTCCTGCCTGATACTGAGCAACACATATCGATCTCTGGTAGCCTGAGATGGAAGTCAAGCTGCTTCATTTGCAGTCCCACATTAGCCCCCTGACAGAGGGAGAGATAGCAACGGAGAGAGAGAACAGGATGGGAAAAAGGAGGTGTAAGGTGAAAGCAGGGATAGAGACAGATGGAATCAGATACAGTGTAAGGAAGGCAGGAAGGCAGGAACAAAGCTGAGAGTGAGAGAGAGGGAGAGAGGGAGATGAGGAAAACTGAGAAAGAGGTAGAGGAAGCCTAAGTGTGTGCGAGACCTGGCTGTTTGGCTGCCAGCAGATCAGTCTGTGGACATATGGCAGGGGCTCTGCAGCCGTGCTGACCGCAGGAGAAATCTCCCACGCTCGGTAAATAGCAGAGAGGGAAATCTAACACCTCTGGCAGTGGCAGATTCTCCCTGCCTAAAACAGAGGTTATCTTCCTCAGTGAATCAGGGAGTTGTGTTACACATCTCCCATGTAAAGACATCACTAGATGTCAAGCGTGAGTGTAAGTAACATGGCCCGCCGGAATACAGCACGAGGAGGAAGACAAAGGAAACACAGAAATGGATGACGCTCCATCAGGACCCTATCTGGATGGATTTGGGATTATTAGCACTGGGGCAATGAGTAATGGAATTAGAGGGGTGTCCAGGGATGCTTGACATTCCCCCATAGCAAAGCAGGATACTGACCTCCATGAGCTTAAAGAGATTAATGTCAGTCCAAGCTGCTATTGTTAGAGCAGACCCCGCCCTCCTCTCTCTTTCTCTTGCCCCACAAGGAGAAAGTGTGTAATTTCAACTCTTAGGGTGCTGTGACAGAAATTGCATTGTGCCCCGTAAACACAGTTTGCAGAGACTTTAGGAGAGAAAGAACTTTTTTTTTCTCTTGATGAGAGACGCTACAGCGACGTGACCCCATTCACACCTCTATCAGTCCTGTGGTTCGGCAACAGAGCATAGTCTCT